GATTGCTGTCAACTTGACCCTTCCAGGCTCTGAGGAAGGCGAAATCCGCCGAAACGTCAGCTTGTGCGTAAATAAAGAAAAAATAGCACCTCGTGTTTACTGAACAGAAGTAGAAAGATTTATTCAATCAATGTCGAGGTTAATAGAAAGTCGGACTTGGAAATATGTCGATTATTTATGCCGACGTCTGTAGAAAATCGGTCTTTTGGATTTTTAAAACAGTTCTTTATTACTCTGGTAGTGAAAATCTCAGAGAAGTAGGCCATGCCTATATTCAGTTATATTCAACCCGATATTGGTGACAAGCTACCAAATTTGAAGATTCTCGCCCTGACGAATAACAATATTACGGAATTGGGCGACATTGATCCTCTAGCAAATTGCAAGAAGTTGGAATATGTTACGTACGTATTTCTTTTGCATTAACGCTAATCATAATTCATCCTGTCCTTATTATTTAGTTGTTTCTGCAACACCTTCCTTTTCAGTTTCATAGGAAATCCCATAACTCATAAGACAAACTATCGCGCCTACATCATCTATAAGCTGCCGTCTGTACGTGTCGTTGATTTCAAGCGTATAAGGCTGGCGGTCAGTTATTCTTTCAATAGAAATATTAAGGTAATCACTTTTCCACAGGCTGCCTATTTTTGAATGGCAGGGTATGATGTGAGGTACTGCTACAATGATGCTGAGATATTTGCAAAACTCTGGGCCGTAGGTGTCTGAGGTGGTGATGAAGGGTAATAACGAGGTTCGGTCCTCGTCGCGGAGTCCTGAGGGCCGGAGTCGTGCAAATATCTCAGCATCATTGTTGAAATACCAGATCTTTTTTGCTGTGTGTATCCATGGAGTTTTCAACAATTTTTTGTTTATAATTTTTATTGAACTAGAGACAGGTAATGCCAGTCCCCATAGTGTTGGTGTTATTGACAACTTTTGCCACTGTTTAGTTTTTGTTGAAGGTCTATTGTTGAGTTTCGCACGAAAAAAATCAAAATCTAAACATGTGCCATACAGACTTATTTATTGAACATTGGGACATTTGTTCTGGAGTGGTGACTTATTGTTGAAAGTTTAGGAACGTGAAGCAGCGCGTAAGTTGTTTAAAGGAAAACGAGGTCAGAAAGCTCGAGATGCTATCAAGCGTAGCACCAATGCTCCTCGTGAAATTGAGAGCGGTGATAATCCTAGATTTAACGGGTCAACTCTATCAGCGGAAGACAAAGTGAAAATACAGGCATGTGTTCTACCTTATCATTCATGTATCAATGTTCTATCCGTTTTGTTAGTATTGAAGGTCGTCACTTTGTCACCAACGGTTCAATAATCTTTTCTAAGCCGTCAGTAATATATTATATGTCAGCGTTAATTTTCCGATACCTAAACTTTTAAAGAATGCCATCGCAAGCGCACGATCACTGGCAGAAGTCGAGTACTTACAATCTGTTTTGGCTAGCGGTCGAATTCCTGAAAAAGGATGGAATAGGCAAATGCTCCTTCCTACTGATGCCGCGTCACCTATTCAAAATGGGCAGTAAGTATATCTGTCGTTCATTTGTTTTCTTTATTTTACCTTTTTCTTTCTGAATCTTCGCGATATTTTTTTGGTATTCGCGATGAATTGGTATCTAAACATTAGTGAGTCAGATTACTATTTTTCGATGTTCAAAAGAGATTTGCCTTTGACAGATCATCTCATGCTTGTCATAGTTGTTTACTCAGATGGTCATGAGAGACTACTTCGTGATACATTTCGAGATAGTTGCGAGACCGTCGTTGCCATATCTCTGCTTAACACGCTGGCCCTGGACCCGGCTTATACTTATTTTAAGCACATATCAGCATCTTTTGGATTCTGTTAATTTTAACAGAAGTCAGTGAAATCTGTATGTCCTTGCCATAGCAGTAAAAGATGGGTTATCGAATCGTTATGGAACGAGGTGATTGTATACATACTTGGCACAGGTAGTGACTTTCAAGGACCTATTTATGTACCGAATCAATGTTTTTTATCCCTCTAGACAAATGTCGTACCAATTTCCCGCTGTCGGAGTGAGATGGGAAGTTTGGTTAGGTTTGATGCTGTTGCAAAAAATTTATATTTCTCCAATCATAACTTTTCGGCGCAGTTTTTGAAGACCATCGGCGGTTTTAGAACCATCACGATCATCGCTGTGTTGAGAAAGAAAGCTCTGGGATAATCTTAATTTTGGTTTTTTTAAATCAACAATTAGAGGCTATCTATTATAGGTTCGTTCCCGAAGTGGAAACAGAGTATCCTGTTGGTTCAAATAGTAGTACTGCACCATTGGGATATGGACAATCACATGAGCAGAGTGTTCATGGATACGAGAATACAGAACACGCACTACCTACAGTAAATGGAGATGATAACGGACAGAGCACGATGGAGGCGGATACAATGGATATTGACGACGATCAAGAAGCATAAACGAGGTTTCCATTATGACCGTGTTAGCATGAATTCCATATTGTCCTCCATTGTGACGAGTTGTCCCGATTTTCTGAATCAAATTAGTTTCCGAACTGGCTTTCATTTTTATTTCGTCAATGTTTTGTTCTTGAGCGTAGAGATTCCAGCGACATATTTTGAGTTAGCGTCTATCGACGTCTTGTTATCGTTTCAAGCACATCTCTTTACCTTTTCTTATTTTACTACATCGTTAATATTGGTCTCTGGGCTGGATGCAAGCCATTCGTCGTTATTTGTTTGTTTTCTTCATAAATGTTCTCCTTATCGATTTTTGATAGCGGATAATTCTTCGCTTGGCGAATTTTTTAGAAGTGAATGGCAGCGTTTTTATAGTTTTTAAAAAACGAACGGTTGTGGATTCTTTGCAGCATAACTTCTACTCTCTATTGCTGTTTTATGAATATTTACCTTATTCAGCTATTGCTTCGGTGGAAGTAAGGATGTAAAGTTCATCATGTATTAAAACGCGCTATGTGACGAATGCCACAAAGGAATATTTCGCCTTTATATTTGATTGCGTCAAATCTATAGTACTGTAAGCGACTTCTGAAACTTTTGCAGTTGCGGAAACCCACTACAAACTATTAAGCAGATTTGGACATTCCTTTAGTGCATAACTGAAGGTTCTGAAAATGCACTATAATGTTTCAAAACCGACTTTCTTTTAGGTATGACAAGTCAATATATATTCTTCCCTTGATAAGCTTACTAGAGGTTGACAAATGGGCTTTATTCGGCTAAGATTACGACGTCTTCATCATCAACAGAGTTGATGATTGGAGTCGAATGGTCCATAGTTTTTTTGCGATTTGGCGAGACAGCCGTCGTGAATTATCGGCACTGTAATGTACCGATTTCGGATTGCGTCCAACTACCGCTTTCGCTCTCCAAATGATGCATTATCCCTTTTTCCTGTCCCTTATTCATTTCAGATGTTCTGTCATTTTTTATGAGCTGTATTTTCACTGTTAGAAATTTGACAGTAATATACAAAGCTGACTCCTCTTTTCTGGTCTGCCCTTGTTTTTAGAAATGAACAAATTCATAAATTTAAACTACTCATGTATCACAATACTTTGATACCTGGATGGCCCGTCATCACTGGTTATGCGGGCTCTCAGAATAATTTCCATTTTTTTCGGTGTTTTGCTGGTTTAGCCATTGTGGTTTCCTGAGGTCCCGAAAATATCCTGGCGGAAGTCTTCCCAAGTGCTCACCACCACAGCCAGTCACCGTCCTTGTGGATCAGAAGGAGATTTGCCACCACACGAATACTTTCATTACTCCTAGCTGAGTTTTCTATGGAAATGCCGGACTCCTTTTCAGCTTGGAAGATCTTGCTGGGGGACGAATCTCTCCGCTGTACATCGAAGCCCAACACCGAAGAACACTTCCAGCCATGCTGAGGCGGTAAACCGTTGGGAGGGTTTCACAATACAGTAGCCAGTATTTCACTGCGATTCTAAAATGTGCAGTAAAGACTAGACAATTTTGACTTATTATTCACTGCCTACTCTTTTTAACGGCAGGGTATATATAGCAAAATATAACTTTAATGATGCTGAGATATTTGCAAAACTCTGGACCGCAGGTGTCTGCGGTGGGGAACGAACGCGGTATTGTCCTTTCCGAGGAGTAAGGCGTTCACCACCACACCACGCGTCTCATTTGTTTTGCTTGTCTCTCAGCTGGTTCTATCGATCTTTTGCCAACGGCAATCACCCGTCAGCGGTATTGATCTCGGGAGCCCCAATCGGCAACGAACCCAGTTAAGCTGAGGCTGCAATTATAATCTTCCAAAAGAACCGCTGGCGGGTGATTGCTGAGTACAAAAGATCGACAGAACTAACTGAGAGACAGGCGAAACCAAGGATCCGCATGATGTGGTGGTGAACGCGTTACTCCCCGGAAAGGACAAGAACGCGTTCGTTCCCCACCGCAGAGACCTGCGGTCCGGAGTTTTACAAATATCTCAGCATCATTGAAAGCTAGACAGTTATGCCTTTCGATGTTTTTCTTCAATAAGCAGACACGAGGTTGTTATTATAGAATTTATTAGGATACAATAGCTGACGTTTCGGCTATTATCGCCCATGTATTGCTCTGTGCGGCTGCTATCCACCAACTGACTTGAATACTTACAACAAATAAACGGCTCTGAAGAAGACGAAACCGCCAAAACGTCCAGCTATTGTATCCTAATAAATTCTAAAATAACAACCTCGTGTTTGCTTATTGAAGAAAAACATCGAATTATCAATCAGTGCCGAGGTTAAAAGGAAGTCATGGGAGTTATGCCTTTCCTTAAACTGAATGGATTGCATTGGATGTCACATTTTGAATAGAATTATTTTCACGTAAATCTGATATGTAGTTGCAATGTAAGCAGTAAGTATTGCGAATTGCACTCAGCTCATGCCACGCGCGGAGATGAGGTAAGCTTTGAGTCGATTCTTATATGTTAAAGACGTGGACATTATCGTCTCGCTATTTCCTTATTCTCCGGAGCGGGTGCTGATCGACTTCGACAACGCCTGTGGAGTGATTGGTTCTCCACTAAATCTTAGAAAGACGACGTTCGTGAGGAGCGGATTCTTCCCATGAACAGTTTATGTAAAACTGAATGAATAGCGAGAAATCCTACATTTACGTATAGCTGGGTTGAAAAGTCAGCATGATAAAAGATTTAGTTCTAGAGCAAAGTAGGATGAAGAGAATGGCTTGGAGTGTTTAGAAAGCTACGAAGGTGTAATGAAGACAAAATCATCCGGATCTAGTGCCATCTTTTTAGAGCCGAAAATATTCTGTCATGTATGCCCGGATGCCACGTAGTGGTAATGAATGGTCCTTCAGCGCTAACAAACTTTACAGGCAGTCGCTGCTCTTGTGGATCAGAGAGAAATTTGCCATCATCCGACTAGTTTGGTACTAGGACGGTGAAGGATTCTGGCATTGGTATACTTTTAGTTGGACTCCCGGATGGAAACGTCCAGCTCCTCAGCTTGGGAAGACCGCCGGTGATGAATCAGCCGCAGTACATCGGAACGCGAAACCCAGGAGCACCTCTTAGCCACGATGAGGCGGTAAACCGTTGGGAGGTCAGCAATGATCAGCAAAATGTAATTCACTTTCAAAAATGATCAAACGTATTGCTCTAGACTTCACTATTTATTAGAAGTACTTGTAGTGTGACGAAGCTCAACATGTGTTAAATTCCTTTATGATAGAAATTTCTATACAATACGATAGTATCGAAGTCGCAACAATCTGTTGAAAGGAACTGCATTAAGGATCTGAGTGAATAAAATGAACTAAGGTCGACATAGTAGGTATTACAGGTATCTGCTAGCAAACATTCACAACAATATTTAATTACATTTTACGCAAGAACGAATCTTCGGGAATGAAACTTCAAGTCGGAAATGAGATCTTCAGGTTCTTCCTCATTGCAATGTCATTGAGCACCTGAAAACAAGAAAACTAGGCTAAATAATGTTAAAGTGAAGGATTTCTTATTTCTGTAAGGTGACACCGACATCACTAACGGTTCTTCGGCTCGTCTCAGGACAGAAAGCCCACATAATAACCACAAATACAGCGGTAGGAATAAGAAACATGAGCAACGACTGTGCGCCAATCTGAAAGCAAACCCTCGTTTTCCATTTGTTCATTAGCTCTTACCATTACATTTATCTTTCTTTACTCAAAAAAATAGATAAGAAATAACTTATGAAAAATCAGGATCGATGGATCTATAGATAGTTCGGGATATTTCGATAACCTAAGAGGTGGGGCCGGGGAGGGGGATCCGCGCGAAATCGCCAAAAAATGCGTTTTAAGCGAGAAAAACGCAAAAAACGGGAGCCCACTCGATGTGGAGGAGTTGCCCGTCGTGACGCTATACGAGCGCGATTTTCGCTATTTGCAGCTGGCTGTCGGCTAGTCACGCACACCTGCAAAAGCCCACGCCGGATACTGTAGCTACGGACAGGTTATCCTTATGCAGACGAGTTGACCGCCAAAAAGCACGATTTACGCCGCTCAGACGTTATTTCCAGTCGGATGTCGCTACTACCGGACTGCCTAATGTATCGCGGACGAAGAAAATGCAAACATTTCTGTGTAACCGAGAACTTTTCACTCTACTAATCTCTCTAAGTTCCACTATAATACTACGGTATTCGGTGTCGGTCGAGGTAAAGCTAGTGTGTTTCGATGCATTAAGGTCTTATCGTGACGGATTCTGATACGTGGTGCTCAGATGTATTACTGTGTGAACAAATTAGACCTTAATGGATCTTAGAACCGTTTTTATAGTCTTTACATCCCATCATATGAGGGAACTCGAGCCGGTCGGTGGCGAGGCTACGTGGGGCGTCCCCAGGTGATGCATAGCGGTTAATCGCGGATCAGAAGCGAGCTTTGCTTTCCTGAGACGCAGGTAGATCCAAGGGATTTCAGCTACTCCGAATTAGCACATACTTTCTGTATCTGCTAGGTGTATACATGCATGAGTGTGTGCGTGCGTTCTCGCTTATATGGATTGTACTCTACGAATCAATTCGGCCAAAAACCTGCAACCAAGCGACTGGGAAGTATATGGGAAGCGGTTAGGAGTTGCCTCCAACAAATAAGCTCCATGCCCACTCTGGGAGAGCCTGGCAAGCTACCCGTGAGTGTACCCAGCCCTCACGTTCAGAGCACAGCAAGCTATACGTGGGCATCAAAAATGCTAATCATAGTAAGAAAAAAAAACGGGCTTCATTCCCCTAACCCCGAAAGAGCGCCCAGTTTCGCAGCGTTGGGTAGGACAAGTGCAGAGAGGCTGCTAAAATCTCAAGGTCAATGGAAGCTGTCTGGATTTCAAAAGACCATGGTGACGATCTGTACCTACAATGGACATACACTTGCATCCGAGTCCTCGATAGAAGACTTGCTCATGCAAGCAAGAAGGATAAGGTACGACGTCGTCGGCCTGACCGAGACCAGAAGACGCCAGCCTTTCAACGCCGCCCATGACATCGGAGAAGAACGATTCCTCGGAACATGCAACAGTAGAGGAGTCGGCGGCGTCGGCGTTCTCAACACGAGTTTGTCCATGAACGTCGATTCACTCGAACAACTTACAACCCGAATCGGACGTTTACGATTAAAAAGCCGTGGATCAATTCCGGCATTAACAATTATCGTCTTTTACGCCCCGACATCAAACTATCACGAAGAAGAAGTCGAAGCGTTCTGTGGACTTGGAGAAGTTCTACAGAGAAGACCATACATTCTTAAAAGTCATCATTGGAGTCAAAGTCATGGATTTCAATGCCAAGATTGGACCAACAAGAAAGAACTGCCTCCAGAAACACTCGAGCCGTCACACCACACTGGGACCCACGGATTAGAATGGAGCGAACAAGGTGAGCGGCTGTTTGAGTTTATCATGGCGACCAAGAAAATCCATGGTATCTCGTAATTCCAGAAGCCCCACCCTCAGGGCTGGATGTGGAAGTCTCCCAATGGAGAGTACCATAATCAAATATACCACATCATAGGAAATAGAAGGTTTTGCCTAACCGATCTCGCTGTTGTCCCAAAATTCTACGCGGGATCAGACCACCGTCTCCTTCGTGCAAGATTCTATTCCTCGCGGAAAGGAGAAAAAGCCGCTAAATTCTAAAGCCAAAATCCCAGATAGACTGCAAACTGCGACTTGCTCAATTCATTAGCCGGCTGTTAGGAAGACGTCGTTGCCGATAACGTCAACGAAGAATGCAATCGGCTCATTCAACATCTTCACGTTAGCGGCATGAATGCTGGCAGTTCGAAAGTCACCAAGAGATGTTTGTATCTAGAAAGGAGCTGATACGCCAGCGTTGAATCGCATGAGCTGCGAGCAACCGCGAAATAACGTCCGAACTTGCAAAACAATGCAGACAGGCGATAAAAGAATACCTTAAGGAGAGAAGAGCAGCAGTAATGGTCGAAACTGCAGAGGCTGGGAAAAGCATTCGCAGAGCCTACCGAAGCTTCGCCAATTACAACACCAAAATGATTGCACTCCGGCGCCCAGAAAGGTAATGGAGAAAATCATTCACGAATACTACTCTGATCTCTTCGATATCCACGTCCACCTTCCGTCATATCAAATAAAGGAGGATGGATATGTTGTGCCACCGGTTCTCTCTTCCGAAATCCGACATGCCATTTCGTCGGTGAAAAATCGAACCGCACCAGGACCGGAAAAGATAAGACCAGAACACCTGAAGAACCTTGTGCCAGGCTTCGTAAACACACTGGCTCGACTCTTTATGCGTTACCTGTCTGAATGCAAGGTCCCTGCTCAAGGGAAGACCGGCAAGGCCGTGTTAATGTTCAAGAAGGGTGACCTGCACGATATCGGCAACTATCGCCCAATCTGCTTACTGACTGTCGTCTACAAACTTTTCACTCGAGTCATCCCAAACAGGATTCACAGAACAGTAGACAAAGGACATCCATGTGGGCAAGTAGGGTTTCGAAGAGGTTTAGTACGATGGACCACATCCACATGATAAGAGACTCAATGAAGTATCGCGAGAGTATAAATGACCGGTCTTTCCCACTTTCATCGATTTACAGAAGTCCTTTGATTCAGTTGAGATGGAAGCGGTCTGGGAAGCTCTTGATAGTCAAGGAGAGCCTACTCAATACATAAAGATTCTTCGTGAGCTGTACAAAAATTTCATAACCAAGGTATCACCATTCTACAACGATATTAACATTGACGTCAAAAGACGAGTTAGTCAAGGCAATACCATCGCGCCAAAATTATTTACCTCCACTCTCCAGAACGTTATGCCAACATTGGAATGGGATAATATGGGAGTGAAAATCGATGGTTGGCAGTTACACCATCTTCGCTTTGCTGATGACATCGTCGTTGTAACACCAAACATTAATCAAGCTAAACGTATGCTTGACGACTTTGATAAAGCCTGTGGGAAGATTGGTCTTCGACTAAATCTCAGAAATAATGTTTATGTGAAACAGATTGGTTTCGTGTGCCCCATTCACGCTCAACGGAACGAATATCTCCGAATGCTCCAGTTGCATCTATCTAGGTCGGGAAATCCATGTAATGAACGATTTAGCTCCAGAGCTGAGCAGAAGCAAACAACCGGCTTAGGGAACTTGCAAGAGCATCGCGGATGTAGTGAAGAGGAGAAAGAGCACCCTACTCCGTGTCCACCTTTCCCACTCAACGGCACTTCCTGCTCTAACGTATGCGTCAGAAACATGGTGGTTGCGCAAGCAGGATGAAAGGTCACTTATCGCTATTGAGCGCGCAGTCGAAAGGACTATGCTAAAAGTATTGCGTTCCACACAAGTAATGTATGGGATCCGAAGCTCCGATCTGCGTCAACGATCAAAAATCATAGATGCCGTTCTGTACCCCAAGCTGTTGAAGATAAGGTGGGCCGGAGACGTAATGCATATGAATGACAACCGATGGATAAGAGCCGTTAGTGACTGGATTCCTCGGGATGTCAAATGTACTGCAGGAAGACCACCTTGAAGAAAAAAGCCTTGAAGAAAGATATGATACTCGAAGAGTCCCTAGAGCGAGCAGGGCCTAGTGGGCTACTCTTGCATGCGACAGGGAAAAATAGAAGATTTACTGGCGCCGGCTCGAGTCACTCGACGATCAACGGGACTACAGGTGATACAGGTGACAAATCTCTCTAATTTTCTCTATAATACTACGGTATTCGGCGTCGGTCGAGGTAATGCTAGTGTGTTTCGATCCATTAAGGTCTAGTCGCAACGGATTCTGCTATGCAGACATCAGATGTATTGCTTTGTGAACCAAATGGACCTTAATGGATCCTAGAACTGTTTTTATAGTCTCTACAAATCTCGCCAATTTTAGCTATGACCATATCTTGACCATAGGACCATATCTTATATACCAAGGGGTAGCTGACGAGAGGTGTTTTGGTGGAGGGAGCTTGGTGAAGGGACGGTGAGCTAACTGTTTCACGGTTGGAGGTGGGGCCGGGGAAGTGGGATCGGCGCGAAGAAATCCCCCAAAAATGCGTTTTAAGCAGGAAAAGGCAAAAAAACGACCGCCCACTCGAAGTGAGTTTGCTATCTAGGAGGTTCCTCAAATACTCCAACTTCAATGGATTCTGGATCCGAGGAAAATTCCGACATTGTGTTTAGGTGATATTTGGAGAAGTTCAAAAATTTAAGAAAGTGTTGTTGATTCATTCTTAAACACGTACAATGTTTGCAACCGGAAAGAATGCGAATTCAACGGCGATCTTCGTGACTGCTTCGCAAACTGTGAGGATCGAAACCGATGAGACGAGCAGATTCCTAGGAACGAGTTCTGCTGCATAGAATCGTGATATGGAGCCGATACCGCACGCCGTAGTGAGCAGAAGACATGACAACCCAATCAAAGTGATCACCTGAATCAGCACATTTGCTAAGGCATTCTGAAGTACAGTACTACCGGAAGTTAGTTTCATTTTTAATTCCAATGTACCGTGAAACACTACCACAAAAAACAGCTGTTTTATAAAAGAGAAATTTGGTCTGGTCTGTCAGTTTATTCAAGAAAAGACATTGAATCTATATGTTCAATTGAATTACACCGCAATGAACAATAAACTATGTATTACTTTTTTTATATAACCAGTCCTCACGTCTACTGTGAGGATCCCAGAGCTTCTCAGATACGATTTGTTTATTCGCATCCATTATCCATGAAGATCTTCCAACTTTACGTGTGGCTTCAGTTGCTGCTCGAAGATTTTCATTTCATCTTGAATGTCGTAGAATGCTGATCGAGCAATTCTCTCTGGAGTCCTGAGATAGCCGGGTTGGAGTGTTTCCAATTGGATTACAGAGAGTGATTTTATCTGGAACAGGTCCAATACCAATTTCCCGATGCCGGAGGGATGAAAGGTTTGGTTGGCCCGAAGCGGAATCAAACTATCAGCGTGCTCGTGATGACCGACATCACTGTGCTATCCGCCTCGCACTTATTACTACAACGTTTATTCCAGAATCAATGTCACGAATGTTTCGTGAGAACACAAATATAGAGATTACAATATATTGAAAATATACGAATTTCCAATTAGTTCCTCCAGGTGACCTTTGTTCCGTGACCTGCCTTCAATGAATAAAGAGTCTCCTCGAAGTCCTACAGTTAATGAAAGATTGAACTAGCAACACCTGGATTTACCAGGTCTTATTATCGAATGGGGGCGTGTGGCGCAGTGGTCGAAGGCATCGTACAACACACAGCCATAAGCTAGGAAAGGACTTTTGTTATCGTCCAAGAAAAACGAGACAAGTCATGTTTTACAAGGACAAGTAAAATACTGCCATCAGACGATTGATTGATAAAGAAAGACCCGAACGATTCAAGTTGCTTGTCGAAAGGCTGAAAATGTGCCGAATCCGCCTCAATCCCTCAAGCAAGAAGCTCAGACTACATCTCCATTGCCATTAATGATTTGATCGAAAAGGAAAGGAAACTGGAGCTTGGTCTTGCAGCAATACACCTAACACGGCTGATAATAAGTGCAAGCTGTAGAAAATTTTTGCAGGAGGATTCATGTCGGCATAACCAGAAAAGTTATTGGAAGCAGCTCGAAACCGACGTCGTCTGAAGAAGTGAAACCCGAATCTGTGCGAATATAGTGTTACACTATCGGCCCTAATGAACGAATGTGGAACTGTCACCATATCTTGCCATGACATGGAATCGATAGCGAAAAAGTTCTATACCAATCTTTTGCACTCCACAACCCCATATCGAACTCTAAAATTCCCGCAAGAAAACTGACCCGGATTCTACCCTCTGAAATTCGACTTGCAGCAGAAGCCGTGAAGGCGGCCACAGCTCCAGGTCTCGGCAGTATCACCGCCAAGTTACTTCGAGTTGGAGGCCACAAATTACATGTATTCCTCGCAACCCATATGACATCTTACGTTCAGAGAGAGAA